GAGGGTTTATGAATGATTTCACTGAGGAGGCAACATTTGAATGCGGCTTGAAGCACGTCCAGGAGTTTACAGGGCTGGTGGTGGGGTTGGGAATGAGATGAGCCAGAGAACTGCAGCACTCTCCTTGTCTAATAATTGCCTAGATGGAAAGAGGGGGTGACGAGGTTCCCTTCAAAGCTGTGCTCAGATGCCAGGCGGAGTATCCAGTCCTGACGGTAAAGTGCAAAGATTCCATGTTTGACCAGGATGATCAATTACACAGCTGCAAGCTACCATGTGGGACGATGTAGATAGAGAACACTGCCATGCTGGCCGGAAGACTGGGGGACAGGGCAGATAAGGGGTCACAGAAGGGGTCATGCAAGGCAAAGGGGCCGAGAAGCTAGGTGGGCAGGGGAGGTGCAGAGGGAGCTGGGTTGACATGAGTGGGCCTCTGCAAAGCTCAGGAGGCGCTGGGCTTTACTAATTAGGGAAGCAGCAGCTAATCAGAGCCAGAAACACTAAATAAAGGCACAATCTGGTGACCCGGCCCCTTGTTCTCCAACATGAAAGGCCTCAGCCCTGGTGCCAGAAGCAACTAGAGATCTAAATGTCACGTCAATGAGGAACTGGAAAGAAATTCCCCTAAATTCCTGCCCTTATCTCCATCTCCTTTTTATTACCAACTGGAAGTCGTCACAGGCATTGCCAGGACTGGAGTTTCATGAGTTGAAGAGAAAGGAAGGGGGAAAATGAGCAACCGTGCCGCCACCATGACTCCCTAGGGTGGGCCGGGCAGCCAGACCTCCTCCAAAGGCCTTGCTAGGAGCCGTGCTGCCACCAAGGCCCGGCCACCGCAGGCGCCTCTCTAGAACTGCCCCAGGGCTGACCCTCAGTTCCCCTCGTCTAGTTTCGGTGAAAACGTCAGGGTCTGAGAAGCCAGAAAATCAGGTATGGGCTCCCTCACTGCTGTGCAGGGAACCAGCGTGGCGAGAAAACCCCCTTCAACCAGCCAGTCCCGGCCAGGCGGGGCGGGGTCCCCCTCCTTTCTCTGGGCTCAGACAGTGCCCAGTACAGACCTTTATCTCAGGACTGACATAGGCCCTGAAATGCTCTGTTTATGTCTCGGCGTCCCCTGGAGTCTGGGGGAGGTGCAGACCTGGCCAGGAGGGGAGCTGGTGGGGATCGGGGCTGTCGGCCACAGCCGATCGTGCATTCTCAGTGTTCACCACACTAAGAACCCAGGTCTCACACCTCAGCCTGTCAGAGTAACCTAGACAGCTTAAGACACAGATTGCTGGGCCCCGTCCCCAGAGCTTAGGACTCAGGCGGTCTGGGTTGGGGCCTGAGAGTTTGCATTCCTAACAAGCCCCCAGGTGCTGCTGATGCCGCTGGCCTCTGGCCATTGAGAACCACTGAACTGGAGTAGGAAACACTGGACTAGGAGTGAGAAGACCTGTATTCTGCTCAGGTTCTGACAGCTGCTAGCTCTGCGTGCAAATCTGTTTGACACATCTCAGGATTATTATGAGGAACAAAGGAGCTAGCATGTGTGAGTCACGTGTTAGGGGTGAAAATGTTCTGTATAAATACAGGAAATTACTAAAGCAGACAAAATACATTTTGGGGGGTGTAGGTCAGAAAAGTGCCAGGGGATAGAAGGAGATTGCCTGGCACCGAGAAGAAAGTGGTCCAGGATGTCAGATCCTGTAAGCCTGTGGCCTCCAGGATATAAGCATCCTGAGCCAGGGCTTTGGCTGCCTTGTTCACACTGTCTCCTAGTGCCTACCACTGCCCCCAAGGATGTCAGATCCTGTAAGCCTGTGGCCTCCAGGATATAAGCATCCTGAGCCAGGGCTTTGCCTGCCTTGTTCACACTGTCTCCTAGTGCCTACCACTGCCCCCATATATTTGATTAATAAATGAAAAGACCTCGGTTTCCTCAACTATAAAGAGGAGGTTGAGCCACACGATCCCTAAGGTTCCTTCCAGTTATGAAAATCTGGATATTGTAAGTGTTGCCAGGATTTGCTCTGCTTCCAAGCCCTATGATGGGAATACTCATCATCTTGAGTGACCCCCTGCTGTTCTTCTACGTAGGGGACGTGAGTCATGGAGTCTGACTGTGAAAGCAAGAAGGAAAATAAATGCCAAGCTCTCCCTTGCCTTTCTCAGGCTCAGCGCTTACTGCTCCCCTCCAAGCACCACCAACCAGGGACTTCTACCTACCTGCTCTGGACGAACTTGGGAGTTGACCAGAAGGTAGACAACTGAGTCAGGCAGGCCAATGCTTTTTATGAGAAATAGTGTCAGTTTTTCTTCATCTTTTAGGATATCCCGAATTCGTATGCCTCTTCCTGTATATGAATGAGAGAAAGAACAGGGTGTTGAAGGGGAAATGGGTCAAAAAAAGAAAATGGCCAGAATTAATTGGAACATTTCTGATTTGACTCTCAGAAGAAGGCTCTGTGTTTGGGTTCCCTGGGAGCACCTGGAGGCCAGGCTGTCACCAACACAGAGGTTGTATTGACTGCTGAAGCAGCAGGGCACCATTTAGAGAGAAGGCACAGACAAAAAATCACCTGGTCTCAAATGTCAATAGTGCCAAGGGTGAGAACCCTGGATCCTAAACCTAGTCTAAGATTGGAGAAGATGTGTGCTCCGTCCACACTGCAGTTGTTATGGAGTACGAGACACTTCTTGGTGTTTCTGTAATCTTAGCTCAGGCTCAGAGCTCTGGGCATTGACATGAACTAAGAAGATGGGGCTACTAAGGGAAAGAAAAGCTTAAAGTGGAAAGAGGAGATGTCCTACAGACTGGGCTTGCGATTTCATGTCCTGGTCACCCCCACGTTCCTTTCAGCTCCATTCAAAACCTGCTGGAAGCAGGAGTTTCTTT